ACATCATACCTATTCCTACATCTATATACATAAACGAATATATATATATATATATATATATATATATATATGTATATATATATATGTACATATTATGAGGATACCATACCTATTCCCACATCTATACAGACACACCCTGTAGGAAAAAAAAGCAAACTTCTGACAGCGAGGCAGGAGTCGGTCCAGCGCTCGCAGAGTTTGCTCGCCGCGGGCTTTGGAGGGCGGGGTTTTGTCGTTCGCCGGGTTCGGGTTTAGGGTTTAGAGTTTAGGCGTTTGTTGGGGGGTTTGGGGTTTAGAGTTTAGATCGAGTTCGGGTTCAGGAGCTGTTTTAAGGTTGAAAGATGGTGGTGTGGAGCTTTGAGAAACATCACGGTGAATGCTTGGGCTTTAGCGCTTTGGGTTTTTGGTGTGTTGAGGGTCTTTTTCGCCGCTTGAGCTTTCCGGTTGGCTTTGGTCTTGAGGGTTAAGGCTAGGGCCTTGGGTTTTAAGCTAAAGGTGTTTTGGTCAAGGGTGTAACTGTAGGATGCAGGGCCTCAGCAGATTCGGGGCTCTGAAATTAAAGGTGTTTGGTCCGGAGCGTGTGTTTTGAGCTTTTGTTCGGTTCCTGGAGCCAGATCTTGATTGCAAATCGGGCTTGAGCTTTGGGGTTGAAGTCAGTTGAAGTTTTCCCAGAAGGGTTTGAAGGCTGTGCATGCTCCAAAGCGGCAGCAGAACTGCTCCTCCCGCCATGACCCAAATCCCACAGGCGAAAGCGCGGCCAAAACCACCCAGGTAACCCAAAGACCACCAAATCGCTTGAATAAGGATGTTCTCAACTTACCGTGGAGTTCCTGACTTGGGTGTTCTGGACTGGAGGGATATTGAACCCTACACTGGACCTGCATGCATGCCTTGCCAAGAAGGTACTGAAGCCCAAAAAGACTGCAATTTTGCAGTCCAGAATTCAGGGATGAGCCCAAAAACCCTGCCCGAAACCCAAAAAGAGCATTGTTCCGCCGCCCCCCAAGGCTGAGACGAAGAAAGCCCGCGACCTCAACGAGAGCTTGAAGGTGAGCCTAAGCTTTTTTTTTTTTTTTTTGGGGG